CCGGAAGCCACAGTTATTTACAACCCCGAGAATTAGGTCTTTGAGCCGGATTTTGAGTGGATTCCGGGTGGAGAAGATGACCAACCCCAAGGCGGTGAGGAACAATTCCAACAACAACAACAACAGCAACAACATCATCAACAATTTCAACAACATCAACATCATCAACAATTTCAGCAACAGCAATTTCATCAACAACATGAGTTCCAACAAAGGGACCAAGAGGGTTACCAAGATCAGGGTGTGGGTGAAAATAACCCATACATCTCTTTTGAGCAGCAGGTAGCCAACATGAATGCGAATTTTTCCCGCATGACCACCGAATTCGAGACCTTAAGGAGATCAAACGAAGATATGAGGACTTCTTTTGACAACATGAGAACAAGTTTCGAAGGTCTCAGATCGGAGTTGGGCGATTTACGCACTATGTACCGGCATCTCTACCCAGGGGGCTCAAGCTCCCAAGGGGGCCCGAACCAATGAGTTAGTTTCTTCCTCCCCTTCTCTTTGTGCTTGCATTGCTTTAACATTGGGGACAATGTTTATGATAGCTTGGGGGGGAGTGTTCTCTCATGTGTCATTGGTTCGTGTTGTGTTTTCGTGTTTCCATGATTGAGTTTGCATGTTGGTTTTTCCCATTCTCTTCTTCCCTAACATCCAAATCCTTTAAATCCAAATTTGCTCCCTTTGAAATCCAATACCCTAAATCCAAATTTCTTATCTTGTGAATACCTCTCTTATCTTTTCATTTAGATGTATAGTTTTTTTTTTTTTTTTTTTATGCTTAGTTTAGCTAGTCTAATGCTGTAATTTTTCATTTCTTACTCAAAAAAAAAAAAAAAAAAAATCGAAAAACGAAAAAAATATTGAAAAATGAAAAAATTGCCCAAGGATGAAACTCAAATGACGACGCTAATATGTTTTGCTTGCTTGACTCTTGAGTGATGAGTAAAAGTTCTTTTAGAAGGGTGCATGCAAGAGTTGGGGTCATTTAGAGGTCTATTAATTCTGGTTGCATTAGTGTATATGAAATGAAAGTCGATGAATGCTCAATTGCACGTCTAGCATAGGATATTGTTAATTTTGCCCAAAGTAGGATATGTTTGAGTCAAATTGCGGTCCCTTGTGCCCTTAATGTGCCTCCTTTCCTCCCCGAAATGAAACTCTATTAGGGAATTGCTTATACTTGTATTATGTGTAATAAGTGGCATAATAAGCCACATGTTTCGAATAAAGAAAGAGCCGCTCACAGTTAAAAGAGGCGAGGGCAATAATGTAAAAAAAAAAATTAAAAAAATAAATAAATAGAAAAGAAGGGAGAAAAAAAAAAAAAAAAAACTCCCCCAAAAATTCTCAAAATTTTGATTTTCTTTTCTTTAGAGGTCAACTTGTGGATGCCTCCCACACATTGTCGAATTTGTTGCTTATGGTTTCTTGTGAAATTCCCGAGTTAGAGTGTAATTAAGGGGCCTTGGGTGTGCATTTTGGGAGGTGGACTAGCATTTTGAGATTTTATAACCAAAAGAGGGCTCATTACAACTTTGGAATATCTAGGTGTGCTCTAATGAACTAGTAAAAGGCCAAAGGAAGTATCCTAGTGCAACCTTGTTTAGTTCTCCTCTCTACCCCCAACTCATGTGTACATTTGTATGATCGGTAATTCTTGAAAGCCGTTCACTTGTCTTGCTTGTGTCTCATATCCCGATGAGTTGACTTGGGCGAAAAATTGAACTTGTGCGATTTTTGGCGTTGTGTTGTGGACTGCGTGAGTTGTGGGGCAAACTCATTGGAAACCCTCACGAGATAAAAACTCGTCCTCTAAGGCGACTTAGAGGTTTAAATTGCTTCTCACTTGTGCTAAAAGTGATGATGGTTGTCACCATGCGGATTTGTTTATGTATGCTTCCCCCTTGTTGCCTCTCCTTGGATTGATGATTAGCAATTTGTTTTCCTCCTTTGGTTTGACATTTTTGTTTTGCTCGAGGACGAGCAAAAGCTTAGCTTGGGGGGATTTGATAACTTGCTATTTGATACGATTTTAGGGCGTTTTGAACCTAGTTTACTTGATATAAATTGCGTTTTGGTTCATTTTTACTCTATTATCATGCAATTTTTGTGTATCCTATGCTTCACGGGTTGTTGGTGTTTTTGTTGAGATTCTAGGTTCAAAAGAACGACCAAATGGAGCCCATGGATACAAAGCCGAGGTTAGAAGCAAGAAGATGGATGAAAGAAGCCAAGGAAAGGAGCATTATAGAAGAAAAGATGAAAAAAGGGGCTTAGAAGACCCTGCACGGCCGTGCCAGACCTTGCACGTCCGTGCAGGAGGTTCCAGAAAGCTTCAGCAAGCTGCCAAGGCCTGCACGACCGTGCTTAATCTGGCACGTCCGTGCAGAAGAGGGTGCACGGCCGTGCCAGACTTTGCACGTCCGTGCAGGGTGCTCCAGAAACTCAGAACATTCTGCCAAGGCCTGCACGGACGTGCCAAATTAAGCACGTCCGCGCAGATGTATCTGCACGTCCGTGCGGAACTGCTCGATTCTTAGCAGTACGTTCTGCCTCAATTCTGCCCCCTCTGCACGTCCGTGCCAAACTTGGCACGGTCGTGCTTAGCCTTGCACGTCCGTGCCAAATCTGGCACGTCCGTGCAGATCTGCAGTCGAACTTCTTCCTTGTTTTCTCCGTCCTTTTTATTTGGGGGTCATATAAATACCCCTTTAGAGCTCATTTGTACGGGGGTAGGCAGTTTTTCAGAGTTTTTCTCTTAGTTTGTAGTCTTAGAACATTAAATTCTCAAATCATTAGTTAGTTCTCAATTATTAGCTTGGAATTATTCAAATTCAATCATTGTAGAAGACAAAATCCACCATTGTTGCTCATCTTGAAGCTTCATAGTAACCATTTCTTACTCATCTTTTCTACTTCTCTTTACTTTGTTGTTGATTATTTGCTAGTTCTTGCATGTTTTGGATTGTTAATTAGCTTAATCCTTAGTTTGAATTTGTTCATGAATTGCTTGAAATCTTTAATTGCTTTACTTGTTGCATGTGCTAATTTGGTTGTTGTGGGACGTTAATTAGTTGATCTTAAGTGGTTTAATTGCTTAGTTCTTGTATATGACCATTGCTAGAACTATTTATCCAAGCTTTCTCAACGAAGGATCGAGAGATGAACTTGAGTTAGCTCCCTTATGCTTGATTGACCCGAAATGCCATGAGAATAGGGATTACCGGTCAAGGGAATGTTTATGTCATCGTGATTATGCTTTAACACTTGTTCTATGCTATGTAACCACGAGAGTAGGTTGTATTCATGATTCAAGTAATCCCTCTAGCTTGAGAGAGTAGTTGGGTGCTTTAGATGACTTCCCCTAATTTATCCCATTAATTTACCTTGATTGTTGCATGCTAATTGTGATTTGTGATGAAGTTGAGTGGTATAACCCAAGCCCTAGATTCCTCTAAATATTGTTAACCTCCTCTTAGCTTAGTTGAATTGTGTTAGAAGAAGTTACTCAAAACCAACCCAATTTAGAATTCGTTTAGCTTATTTAAACGGTAGTACTCGGTGGTTGATTCAACGCCTCTCTTGGGTTCGACCCTTTCTTACCCTTACTATTGTTAGTGAGACCAAGACAGGAATTATTATCTTTGGTAGGCTCGACGACGGCCTATCAAATTTTGGCGCCGTTGCCGGGGAGCAGATTTCAGCAGAGTAGAGTAAGACAGAGCAGAGCAGCTCAAAAGAACAAGACCTTAATCCCTTTCACCTTACAAAGAATTCTAGTAGTAAAAACAACTATAACTTTTTTTTTTTTATTTAAATAAACAATTTGATCTAAAATTTATTTCATATAGCAATTTCTGCTAATGGTTCGAGTATAAAACTTATTTAGATCAATTTTAGTGAAAATAGTATATATTATAAAATTAATTTTAAAGGAAGGTGATCCCCGTTTGCTTTACCTTAATTTTGCTGAATATACTGATTATTTTTTTATTAAAAAAAAGTTAAATTCAGCAAAATAAGTTTTGTTCAGTAAAATAATTTTTAATTTAAAGAAAATGTAATATTTCATCAATTAAAAGAGTTTAATTGATTAATATAATTTGAATTCAATAAAAAACAATTCAATTTCAGCAAAATTAATTCAGTTCAACGAAACCCATTTCAACTGAGCAAAAATAAGATAAAGATAATTGGGTCTTATTGAGTGAAAAATATGGCCCGTTTTCATAAGAAAGAGAGTAAACATGGACATGAACATTAACACGTATATGACTTAAATACACTCTTGTATAACCAACTGCTAGACACGGAGTACGATAAACCCGACGCGGCCCAATGTCAAACCTTGACATATTACGTAACACAAATAGGGTTGTATAGAGTGCGGTTTAGACCGCACCAAACCGCAAATTTGCGGTCTGGTGAGGTTTGCGGTTTGAAAATTGCGGTGCGGTTTTTGAAAATGACCAAACCGCGGTTTGCAGTTTGGTGCGGTTTCAAAAAATATTTAGACCAAACCGCACCGCTAACCGCACTTTAATGCGATTTGCGGCTTTTATACTATATTTTTGTAAAAAAAAATAAATATAAAAGAACTAAAATATATGAACTAATATTTGACTATTAGTTAATTAAAGGTTAAAAAAAAGCGTTTAATATTTGAATTATAAATTAATAATTACAAAATAAAATAAAAGTTTTGTTTTAAAAAGAATAATTATAATTTTAAAAAAGTATGGTTAAATCGTAAACCGCACCGTATTTTGCGATTTTATTAGAAGTGCAGTTTGGTGCGGTTTGAAAAAAATTAAAAACCGCAATTTTGCGGTTTGATGCGGTTTAGAATTCAAACTGCACCGCGAATACCCCTAAACACAAATGTACTCCCCTAAACTCTCTTACTCCTATATCCAAAGAACCCCCAAAGTGAGCGTGCAAGTCACAGAAGCAAGACGGTGCAAGTATGAGAGTGACTCACCATCATACAAAAGAAGACGTTAATTTGACACCTCCAAAATTAAAAACACCTCTCAAATTCAAAAACCCACAACTTCCCACTCCTTAATACAGTTATAATTAACCATTATTCAATTTGCTTCGGATTTTGCTTCGTTTCTCAATATTCCCCTTTACAACTCCCTCTCTCACACTACACTCTGGTATCTTACTACAACTATAAAGCAATCTTAAACAGCTCTCATCAAATTTATATACTTATTAAAAAGCTTAAAAATGGCGGATTATCATCATTTTTGAGAGAGATTTTGAGTTTTGTATTTGTAGTATTCTCAAAGCAAAAGATTATCAATCAATCAACCCTTTCCAATCTCTATCATCTAACCGCTCAAGATTTCGACTCTTCTTTATTACCTACCTTTTTATTCATCTTTTTTCTTTCAATCCCAGATGATTATTTGTTATAATCAGACATAACATTGACAAATTACAGATTTCTGGAGAATTATTTGATTTTTTTTCGAATTTTTTTAGGATTTTTTGGAGTTGGGTTGTTGTAATTACTTGCCCATTTTGTCTTTTTTTGGGTTGATTTGTTAAGATTTGATTTGATTTTGATTTTTTCCCGATTAATGTTGGTGGGTGTTTGATATATTTTTTGGGATTTTTATAATTTTGTTTGTTTTTGGGAGAATTATTTTTTTTGGTGGGGTTTTAATGGCGGCGAGTGAAGCTTTATCGTTTAGTGTGGTTTCTGTTGTTGAGGATGTTCTTCAACAACATGGACATCGACTCAAAGGTCTTGATTTAGAATCCAGAAGAGCTGAGGAAGCTGGTATAATTTTCTCTGTTTTTAATTATTTTTTCATATTTTTTCTTGTGATTAGTTAATTATTCAAATTGTTAACATTAATGTGATTTGATTTATGTTAAAATGGTTTTACTAAATTATGACTCGTAATATGACACGAAGAAAATGGGTTTGTAAGTGTTACGTAGCACTAGATGGAAGTGACCCGATCACGGGAGATAAATTCTTGGTTCATGTTGTCGACCCGTCTTTTTAGATCAAGGATTTAGAATTGGTTTAACTTTTACTAACTCATATGGGTTGTCTTTACTTTTTATGTATAATTGAAGTTGTAGTATATGATAATTTTTAATTTGTGAAACCAAATTCTCTTCCTTATTTTTGAAGTTCAATTAATGTATGCAATTAAGGCTTTGGATCAATTCTTCATAAATCATAACCTAACTAATTGGCCTTTTTGAGTATGTACTATGAGATAACTGAGGTGAAATTCTAGGAAATTCTGACACTAGTTGAATTGAATTGTATAAATTTGTGGGATCATTTTTTTATATTGTAGAATGAATAGTGTTTTGGAAGATGGTGTTTTTTGATGCTAAATTGCTAAATGGGAATTTGATTGATGTACTTTATGTAGCAATGAGAAGATATGAAGCAGCTAGTTGGCTTAGGAAAAATGTGGGGGTTGTCGCCGCCAGAGACTTACCGGCGGAGCCATCTGAAGAAGAGTTTAGGCTTGGTTTGAGAAGTGGATTGATCCTTTGCACTGTCCTTAATAGGGTTCAACCTGGAGCTGTGCCAAAGGTTGTTGCTCTTGTCTGAGCTTCTTTTTTCGCCTTTTACTCTTCTGGGTGTTTCTGAAATGTTGCTGATTTATAATGGATGACACAATTGTAGGTGGTGGAGAGTCCTGCAGATTCTGCTTCTCTTCCTGATGGAGCAGCTTTATCTGCTTATCAGTACTTTGAAAATGTTAGGAACTTTCTTGTAGCAGCAGAAAATATGGGACTTCCTACATTCGAGGCATCTGATCTCGAACAAGTAAGGATTTAGTATGCTATTGCTGCTAAGATGTCTTGCAGATTTAAAAGTCTTGGTGTGCTGATCATAACAACTAAAATTGTACGGAGTAGTGTATAAGAACATGGATTTCAGCTGGTTTGCTCATTTTGTAATATTACTTTTTTGAAGTGGTAAATAAGTTTATGCCTTTGTGTTTAGGGAGGGATACCAGCAAGGGTGGTGAATTCTGTTCTAGCTCTCAAATCTTATCATGAATGGAAGCAGGCCGGAGGAACTGGAGTCTGGAAATTTAGTGGAAATGTGAAACCCACCACCACTTCTGTGAAACAGTTTGTGCGTACAAAATCGGAGCCTTTCACGAATTCTTTGACTAGGAACCCATCAATGACCGATAAATCCTTGAATGCCCTTTCTCATGACATTGACACTAACAAATTGGTTAGTGCAATATAATCTGTGGCCATCTTCTTTTTACTATGGGTGTCGAAGCTTTTTAATGTTACTATGTCCATAGCATTTAAGTAACAACTTATTCCACCTATTTGCAGCCAAGTTCTCAGTCCCTGAGCTCACTTGTACAAGCACTTCTAATGGATAAGAAGCCTGAAGAAGTTCCACAGGTTAGTTTGGATGTATAATAAGCAGGAATCATGACATAGCTTATAAAGACTAATCCTTGATTGATATGCTGTAATGGAAATGAGTTTGTTAGGAGTTTTAAACAAAGAGCCCCATCTGTCCATGATAGTGTGTGCAAGTTCACTTCAATATCAATAGCATAACAATTATTGGCAACACAAAGGTTGTTCTGTCACCAAGTAAGAGGAAATATGAAAGTTTTTAGCATTCATCAACTTTTCCATTCAAGGCATACAGTTAAAAAAAAAAAAAAACTGCTTCATTTATTAATTCTAGTAAACGCTGCTAAACCTAGATGGAAAATGTCCACAGGCAAGCTGTTAGTTCTTGACTTCTTTCACCTGTGCGTGTTTGAAAAGGATGGAATATTTTGTGATGATACGCATACTTTATAATAATCATTTACAGTGTCACTAACTTAACCAGTACTTTTCCCTGAGCTTAGCCTTTTATGCAATGCAGTTAGTTGAATCAGTTCTTAGTAAGGTTGTGGAGGAATTCGAGCAACGCATGGGTTCGCAAAACAATATGGTATGTAGTTATAGCTTCTGAAAGAACAGTTTGTGCAACAAAATTATTCTAAAGTTTGCCGGACTTTTTAAGCTTAATGAATTTCCGTCATTGTTTGTGTTACTCAAGGCTAATCAACCAAGTCAAGCAACAGGAAAAGAATTTTCTGCACCACATGGGAAGAAGCCTTTTTCAAAGATGTCTTCTGAAAATTCTAAGGCAAGTGATCATATCTCCTTTATGAATATATACATGTGAAGTTAAAGTAACACTATAACTTTTGGTGTGAAAGGGCCTTGAGACAAACGTAGCTTCGTGTATTAGTACTTACTTTCCTCTTTATATGACATCTTTTGATGCCTTACTGAAGGTAGGAGATAGAAGCTACTCTTTGACCAAGAAGCAAGAGAGCTTATGTGGTAATCAAATTAATGATGAACAAATGAGAAGTCAAATGGTGAAGCAAAAAGAGATCTTTGATCGTCAAGGAAGAGATGTCCAGGTTAGAAATTGACAAATGTTAGCTTGAACTCTCAACCATCTTGAGGATACTTATAACTTATTGGTGATATCTGACTTTGTAGGAGCTGAAACTCACTCTTCGTACAACTAAAGCTGGCATGCAGTTTATACAAAAAAAATTTCAAGAGGATCTCCACAATCTTGGTATGGCGATATGCTAGCTTTTTGGTCATTTCCTATCAAATTGTATCAAATAAGTGAAATGAGGAAATTTAATTGAGGGTTATGACTTATGAAACTTGTTGATGTTGCCTTTGTCAGGCTCACACATGTATAGCCTAGCTCAAGCTGCCAATGGATATCACAAGGTTCTCGAAGAAAACCGTAGGTTGTACAATGAAGTACAAGATCTCAAGGGTAAATTGAATGCTACATATTTGCCTCATGTCCATTCTTTCTCTGGTTTAGTGACGATAAACTTCTAGGCATATCCAAAGCAAACTAATATAATCTCTCCTGGTCTCTTTAATTTCCTCCTAATAGGGAGTATTAGGGTTTATTGTCGAGTGAGGCCCTTCTTAAGTGGGAATTCAAGCTTTATTAGTTCTATTGAACACTTTGAGGAAGGGAATATTACCATCAGAGCACCTTCTAAGCATGGAAAAGGTCTCAAATCATTCAGCTTTAACAAAGTATTTGGTCCATCAGCGACACAGGGTTAGTTTTTGGCCCTTCTTAAATGCAATACTATTAAAAGTTCCTCTTCTTTGTTCAGAAAGTTTCTAACCCATGTAATTTATTATGTACTACAGCTGAAGTCTTCTCAGATATGGAGCCACTGATTCGTTCTGTGCTTGATGGTTACAATGTTTGTATATTTGCATATGGCCAGACAGGTTCTGGGAAAACATTTACTATGGTAATATATTGTTTTCACTAATCTTCTATTAATAAGCTCCTATATATTATTATTTTTTACCCTAACATACTGATGAGTCCTATATCTATTTGTATTTTTATTTGCAGTCTGGACCAAAAGACCTCACAGAGCAGAGTCAAGGTGTAAACTACAGGTCTTTGGGTGACTTGTTTTATCTTGCAGAGCAGAGGAAAGATACCTTTCGCTATGATGTTGCTGTCCAGATGATTGAGATATACAATGAGCAAGTCAGAGATCTTCTAGTCAGCGATGGGCTTAATAAAAGATATCCTTTTTCACTTGTTGAATAGTCTTGAATTCATTTGTTTTGTGGGTATATAAGATGTATACTACATGGTTATCTCAATTACTGGACATTCATTAATAATTGATTTGTGGATGACATACTTCAGTATGTACAAGATCATTCTACCATCAGCTATTTTCCTTAACCCATTTATACATTAGAAATTCGTAACAGTTCTCAGAATGGACTCAACGTCCCGGAAGCAAGTCTTGTTCCAGTATCATCGACATCTGATGTCATTCATCTGATGAATATTGGACATCGCAACAGAGCAGTTGGTGCAACAGCACTCAATGACCGTAGTAGTCGTTCTCACAGGTGTTTATCTATACACTTTTCAATGTGTTGGTTTCTCTTTTCTGAGCTCGTATTAATTCTGAACTTGTGATCTTTTTGATCTGCAGCTGTTTGACTGTTCATGTTCAAGGGAGAGACTTGACAACTGGTAACATACTGCGTGGCTGTATGCATCTGGTTGACTTGGCAGGTAGTGAAAGGGTAGACAAATCGGAGGTGACTGGAGATAGATTAAAAGAGGCACAACACATCAACAAATCTTTATCAGCTTTAGGAGATGTGATTGCTTCTCTAGCACAAAAGAACGCACATGTCCCATATAGGAATAGCAAATTAACACAACTGCTCCAAGATTCATTAGGTCATGTCTCAACTATCTAACTCTAACCGGCATGGTATTTTTCAAATCTCTCACAAATTATATGTATTTTATTAGCTGACATGAATTTATGTCATTGCAGGAGGGCAGGCCAAAACACTGATGTTTGTTCATATAAGTCCTGAAGCTGAAGCTGTAGGAGAGACTCTAAGTACACTTAAATTTGCAGAGAGAGTAGCCACTGTTGAACTTGGTGCTGCACGAGTAAATAAAGACGGTGCAGATGTGAAGGAGCTCAAGGAGCAGGTAGAAGCTGGATTTTGGTATTCGCTGCATGCTTCACCAGTGCTTTCACCTATACACTTCTCATATTTTATTGCTTGCATCTGTTTCAGATTGCCAGTCTTAAAGCAGCCTTGGCAAGGAAGGATGCAGAATCTGTTCGTTCTCACCAGTCAGGATCCAGCAGCCCTGAAAGATATAGAGGGAAAGCTGATGTTCCTTCTCCCCTTCGTTCCAATCAAAATGGCGGAAATGCATTGTTTGATGTGAGTAGACATCAGCAATCTATGGGAGATATAGCCAACTTCGAGGTAATTATAATGGTTACATTTACGAATCTTGCTAGAAAAGTTCATCATTTTAAATTGAGAATTTGGAGGGCTAAGATGTATAAGTGACTAAGTGTCATGATTTTATAATGCTGGAGCTGACTGAAGTTCCAAGCTGTGCTGTGCTGTGCTTTACTTAGAATATGTGAGACTGATTGTTTTTTTATGAACAATCTTCCTGTTTTGACTTTACATATGTAGCCACACCTCTTTGCATAAGAAATTCTTGTTAAATACTCCCTCCTTCCCTTATTTTTTGCCCCATTGCAAATATACGGGTCAAACTTTTAAAACTTTGACCATGAATTCTCGTTAATCTATAAGTGATAATATATTCAAGTGGGATCTTGTTAGAATCATCTCATAGTATATTTTATTAATATTAAGTTTTTATAATTTGTACGTGTTTAGAAATGAAGATATATATGTTTGAAGACATGTTTTGGAGACTGTGATCAGTCAAATGGGGCAAAAAATAAGGGACCGAGGGAGTACTCCATAACAAATAGCTAGATAGACGGACTGAATTCTCTAAACTGGCATTAAAATTCTCACAGGAACAGTCAAAGGTGTTTGTTGATGATATCATGAAAGAGGTCATACTAGTTTTTCTCAGACAATGATTATTGGAGAATCTAATCTCTGAATTTTGCAGGTCTGTAACAAGTCTGCGTCAAGACAAAAAAGACAAAGCTTTGATCTCGACGAAATGTTGAAAAACTCACCTCCATGGCCCCCTGTAAATAGTCCTGGGCAAAAGTATGGATATGATGAGAAGGACCTTGATTCTGGTGAATGGGTAGACAAGATCATGGTAAACAAACAAGATTCACTTCCGAAAGTAGGGACTCGTTTATGTTGGGAAACAGCAGAAAATGGACCCATGGCTGATTCTTTCTACCCAAAATATTTCCCAGAAGACACCAGACTATATTCAGAACAATCATATAGCATGTTCAGCGGAAGTAATCAGTTCGAAGTGACTAATACAGATGACTTGGACGAGCTTGATGCTGCCACAAGCGACTCGTCTGAGCCAGATTTGTTGTGGCAATTCAATCATAGTAAACTCCCTACACTATCCAATGGTAGTATTGGGTTAAAGTCCAAGAAACTTGATGGCAGGCCTGCTAAGAGTCCAGATTTGAGGTAAGCACTGACTAGCAGTTGGCTTCACTGTTGACAAAAGAAAGTCACTAATGCTTCTTTAAATTTGATATTTACAGCTTGAAAAAAAAGAACTTTTGTTCATAGTTTCATACTACTATTTTTTTTTTCCCATCGAAATCTTCATCTAATCATAGTGTTTCATGCATGCTAATGCAATATTTATACGATTACAGCAAGTCGATGATTCCTGCTCTAAGCCCCTCACCATCAAAGAAGCTACCAAACGGAAGTCAACTACAAAAAAATAGAAGGCAGCAACCAACATCAGCAGAAGCAAAACGGAGAATTGGAAATAGAAAGCAGTAGATAATTTGATTGTTTATCCAAGGGTAACTTTTGCCCCTTAATTTTTTTTTTCCCGATCTTTTTTACTGGGGTGTTTTTTTTGTCCCTTCGTCGAAATTTGGTGGTTGTTCAGTATTTGAGGGTGAGAGAGAGAGAGAGATATGTGTGACATACAATATATTTTTTTGTTCTTTTGTAACGTTTGTTACTTATACAGTTGAGCAATAATTCCAGTTGCTTGAATTTGTATACAAACTAAGAAGCTAAAAAGCAAAGGAGTTCCACTTGTGTTCATATTATGCACCTTCAAACTGTATCAGGCTGTTTCACAGCTTTCATGCTCTGTTGATTTTGATCTAGGAATAAGCTCTGTTACAAATATCCATAGAAATTGTAATAAGCTCTCTTTGAAGTCTAACCGGATTTTGGGCGCATTTTCAAAGTTTCTTCGATGAAAATGGTAGCCACAACATCTTCAAATGCTAACAAAGTTACTCGAAAATGTAAGCAAAATTAGGGCTGGATATAGCAAGAATGTCAAATTAATACAATGGATCCTTCACCAAAATTGTTGTAGTTCAGTAGTTACGTGCCATAAGTATCGTTATAAGAGTGATATTTGCTATATCGTTGCTCGAAAATGTAAGCAAAATTAGGGCAAAAAAAACTTATTAGTTATTTTTACTAACCGTTTAAGTTGTGACCATTATGAGTTAATAAAACATTGTGACCTTTTAAACCACATCAAGCATTGTGAGTTGAGATTGTTGATCTCTTGCGAACAACCCATGCTCTTTTGATTTGATCGTCTCATATTAAGCATGCACCACAATTACTCGAAGATGTAGTGATCATCACAATTTATGAACTAATAGGTGTGGAATACTTCCTTTGTTCCTTATTATTCATCCGAAACGATGATGGAAGCCCGGAGGAAGCCTTAATGCATACTTTGTATATGATATGCATTTAACAAATAGCTATCAAATATTAAAAAATGATAAAAGTACATGAAGGAAAGAGAAAAGAATAGAGAGGTAGGTGGTGTGGATTCCATATACTTTTTACCAGAGTGACGTTCACGTGAAAAGAGAGAAAAAATGATGAAAACCAATACATACTCTAATTTGAGAATTGTGTATTAAACTTTGATACATACATTTATGCCATGTAACAACTATAACCTCAAACGTAATTGTTTATTTATTTTATTTTTTATTTAATGCTTAGGTGAAAATTTTTAATTTTACAAGATTTATTTGTGTGATATAAAACATTCGAAAGTTGCACATAATATGTAACAGAGGTAGTATCTTATTTGACTTAATTGTACTCACATATTTATAAAAATTTCATATTACGCTAGTAAGTACACTTATAATTAATTAATTATGCTTTCTCATAAATCAATCTAATATTATGAATAACCTATTAAACCTATATAATTGCTTACAAACTACAGTTATCAAAGCATGTATGAGATAATGTACTTTGTTATAATATGAACAAAATGTATCAATATGTTAAGCCAAAATCAATCCATAATTCTACGTTTTTATCATTATAATCAGATTAAACTCAAGATTAGTTTTGATTGAACTTCTTTTGAGTTAAATTTGGTAAAGAAAAAAAGAAACAGGTCAATGCTAACTAGTCGATCGAGTTAACATTGAAAAGTAAAATAATATTGAGTTACAGGTCACCATGAGCAAGTCCTTGGCCAATGCCAATTTGTGTCGGGCAATGCGGTTTCAGGTTCTAATTGGTTTAAGTGTCAATTCGTTTTTGGATTGTTGTCCGATCATATTAATTCAGTTGTGGATTAGTACATCAGATGCAGGTACGTATCAGGACAAGTATAGGCTTATAGATCGTGTAACGTTTCACTCTATTGTTCAGGTACAAATAGGGTTTAGTTCATTGCCTGTACTTCTTATTATTGTTACTTGATGAAATGCATATTTTAAAAAATAAATATCGTCATTACCTTATTAAAAAAAAGAAAAGTTTGCAACATTGATTTGTTTGCCGATTCCGGCCCTGACTTCATCATACCTTGGATTCAAGTATGGATTAAACTTGAATTGTGTCCAGTTAAAACTTTATTATTATTATTTTTTTTTTCCTAATAGGAATTAAATTGTAAAACTTTAATTTCTTTGGTTGAGATAGAAACTACAGAGTAATTTGTTAAGTATTTGATCGTTTTTTATTTTTTATTTTTTTTTTTATTTTTTTAATTGTTTTTAACTTTGATTATTGGCTAATTGAGTAGTCGATACTTAGTCATAATTAATTTTATGCCAAAATTATAAACCACTTTTTTTAACTAACTTGAATATGTTATATTTGTAACAAGGTTGTTATATAACCTGACACAAGCATATAATGTATAACAAGTTATTATATTACGTAGTAAAAAATAATGCAAAGGCAACACTTATAGCTTACTCTAACTCTAATATTGCATGCGTTTATAACACTTATAGTCTTATAGCTAGACTACGGTATTACATCGTATAATAGTTTGTTTTATGTACTAAACCAGAATTTCTATCCTTGCAAAATATCACTACGAATTAAGATCAGATCTTTTTTCTTTTTTATTTTTTATCAATCAAAATATATATATATATATATATATATTTTTTTTTTTTTCGAAAATTCAATCCAGATATTTAGCTTTAGAGATTTATTATTTTAAAAACACTAAAATATTCTTATTTATGAAAAAAAATTAGAATCTTCCTTGTACACCAACAACTTCTATCTTTTTTATTATTCCTTCTATTCTTTTTGTGAAACGCTAAAACGTGTGAATTGCTAAATCGCGTTCGATATTTACCGGGTAACGCCCGTATTTTAACACGACATTACAAACATGCCCCCTTTTAATTTTATCCTAATTTACTCTTATCCTAATTTACTTTTACCCCTTATAAATTTACCCTATTTTATTTTTACCCCATCCATCAGCCACCGCCACCAGACAACCACCAGCCACCATTATTCAAAAAAAAAAAAAAACCCTTTATTCAAAAACGATTTATACAAGCGGTGAATGGACGAGTTTGCGGAATTGACGACGCCACCATAGAGGTCGCCTGTGCGTACGGATGAATTTTTGTCGTTTTTTTTTTTATTTCGTAATTGCCAGAGAAACGCCTGAAAATTTAGAATCTACCTTGATAGGAACGCCTGAAATTTTAGAATGTCCCATGGTAGATTCAAAAATATCAGGCGTTCCTCACATTGTATTTTGAAATGTTCATGGGAACGCCTGAAAATTTAGAATCTACCATGGGACATTCTAAAATTTCAGGCGAACCATGGTAGGAACGCTTGAAATTTAAGAATGTTCCATGGTAGATTCTAAATATTCAGGCGTTTCTTTCATGGTACATTCAAACATTTCAGGCGTTTCTACTTATTATTATTATTAAGAAGAAACATCGTTTATTATGATTATATTATTATTATTATTATTGTTATTATTATTATTATTATTATTATTATTATTATTATTATTATTATTATTATTATTATTATTATTATTATTATTATTATTATTATTATTATATGGGTTCTTAAGTAGTTTGTTTTGTGGTTTTTTATATAGGATTCAGAATCAGAAAATGGTGGTGATGGTGTGAATTATAGTGGCCATTTTCAAACCGACACAGTGTTTGCTAGTTATGATGCTGCTGTTGAATGGGCTAAAGAAATTGCCCGGCCAATTGGATTTATATTCGTCTCATCATCTTACAAAAAAACCACCGATGGTCAGCCGTATCGATATTTGGCTTGCGATCGTGGTCGGAAGAAAAGGCCAAGAGATTTGGAGAATGTGATTCGCAAGGACAATAAAACCAAGTCCGTTGGGTGTCCTTTCTACATCAAGATTTATTACGAGAGAAGCACCGATGGTTGGAGGATCCGTGCTAAAAATGATGTAACCGGCACCCACAATCATCCATTCATTGGGTGGGTCGCATTATATTCTTTTAAATCTTGATCAAGACCATCCGACTCCCCCAATTGCAGATGTTTGGTACCGGGCTCATGAATCTAGCGTTATTGGATGGGAGCAACGATACCAGCGTAGAATTAGTTTACGGGAAAGATTAGTTGCGTCATGATAGATGTAATGCGTTGTTCAAAACTTAAATAATGATGTTTGAACTTTGTTTTTTTTTTTTAATTTTTTAATTTATTATTATTATTATTATTATTATTATTATTATTATTAGTAAAAATGCCATAAAAAAACACAAGTAACAATTGCAATAATTTAAATCAAAGTGCTCATGTCCATACGAATAATAAAAGTGTCCCATTACAATTACAAAAACAAAATAATAAAAATGTCTAACCGATAATTAAAGTGTTCAACTAAGAAAAAAGGTGTCAAGCTAAACACAAATCATAACCCTCGCATAGCATCCCAATCACGAAGGGCCTGTGGAGCCATGGCCTTAGTTTCATGGGACATGGGCCCATGCGACTCGGCAAGTGCATGCTGTGTGAACTCAACGAAGCGACCAACCCACTGCAAACATTATAAAATGTTAAAATATCATTAAAATTTCCAGATAATAAATACAAAACTAAAGGAAAATATACTTACATAATCAGTGTTGGTCCTCTCGGGGAAACCGCTGACTTGAGGTACGTTAGGGGGTGATACACGAGGGTGAGAGTATCTCACCAACCATGGAATCTAATCGTCTGTGTATGTAGGACTGCTGCGACTGAGTCTAGGGTAGCGAGCCACTGGTAGGCAATATGCAGCAAATGGAATAAAGCTCTCCCACATGTGTACGGACGTCTCAGCCGGGAACTCAACACTATACATCTTGACCTTCTTCAGTCTCTTGGCCTTCTCAGGCCTAATGGGGTACCTAGGTGTACCTTGTAAGAACCCAAGCTGTCTGACAACTTGATCGGGCATGTACGGCTTGATGATGCTGCGTTACTGTATAAATCCCAAGAACAAAGTCATAGGAACAACACTGGCTGGGTCAGGTCCGTAAGGCAGCCAGTTAACCTGCATAATTAAACAATATATTAGTCACATAAGAGTAAGGCGATACGAAGCACAATAAATTAATGAATTTCATATTTACCTCAATGTCAGTCAACACGTCAAGTCGAGCACGACAAGCAAAAAGCTGATCTGCGGTCTTCGGTGGCGAACCAACATCTATCCCATAGCAATGCAAGCACACGTCTAGGCTCCCTGGTCAGAGTGCCCTGCTGTGGGAGAAAGCATGGAAAATACTCATAAATCCACGCTTGAAGAAGCATGAGA